ATTCCTAATATGAAGTAATGAAGAGAGCATAAGATATCTCAAGAAAACATTCGTCCAGTCATTATGATGCATGAAAACGTATTTATTGAGTAATTGAAATGTTCATTGATAATTTTATTTTGAATTCCATGTAGTTATTCTGAATGTCACGTGAAAGTATGGAGCGCGACTTTGTACACATTTTCGGTATGCTATTTTTTTCTTTAATATGCAAAAGATTTTAATTATTTTATTTACTAAGAGTAGGAATTTCATATTAAACTTGCTAGGACTTTTAACCGATCATTTTGTGTATCGATCGATTTTGTGTTTCAGATTTGCACGCAAAACAATAAATTTATTTCATGTAGTTGTCGATAAGAAAAAAAAAACTATTACGGTTACCATTATGAATAATAGCCAGCACAGATTGATTAATGAATTATCGAATAATGGATCATTGCATCAAATAGACCAAACTCTAATAAAAGTTATTTAACCATATTAGAAGCATGTGAGCAAGACCCCAAAATGTTTTTTTTAGAATCTTAAAATTATTGTATTCTAACCTACAGACGCATACAGAAGACTCATTCAAAATATGAACAACGAACAAGTTTGATGATTACGTAACAAAACATAGTATGACATAATACCAAATATAAGTAATGACAACTAAAAGAATTATTTTTGGAGGAACCAAAAGATTTCATCATATTGATATATTGGATCAGCAGAAGAGATTATTATAAGAGTTGACCGAATTTATTGAAACAAAAGTGGTTTAACAAGATTGATTAATAATAACAGAACGGGACAGTACTTTTGAAATTCATGGAATAATCGTAAACGTGTGTCACCACATTATATGGTTGTGGTAAGGGCAAGGTAACCGATCCATTGGAAACAAACAAATGAATAGAATAAATAGAATAAATGGAATAAATGGATTAACAACGTATAAAATAAAAATTTTTAAGAAAGGCGTGGGATTTTTTGGACTGAGGACCATTACAATCAGGCATTAGTAATAAGTAAATTTCAATGCACCACCCCTTTTCAAGTTTTTTCAGGGTTTATTCAGGTTTTATTCAGGTTTTTTTTCCACTTGCGACATAGAAACAATGACCAGGAATTGGTATTTGAGCACAACAAAAAAGCATCAATTTTTTTATTTATTTTTTTTTTTATTTTTTTCTTCTGGGACAAAGAATTCATTCATTCAGAACAAAATTAAAAGAACTTCACATATGAATATAATTGCCTACAAATTTAATAAATTGTTAATAAATTGCAAACAGAAGCATCAAACTGCCGTCATCTTATCATGAACCGACTTCCTATTATATCAAAGTGCATGCGCCGTGACAAGATTCTGTTGGTTCGTCACATAACGACGTTGTATCACAACCCTTGGGCGGAATCAAAGATTAAAAATATTTGTGTGGGGTTTTTCCGTCACGAGGATATATTGAAATCATCATGTAAACGAATTGACCTGTGAAAGGAATTTTATTATTAGTTTTTTTCCCTTATTAACTCTTACGGCAGCATCTCGTCCCTTACGATCATCAATATCATATGTTTTACAATAAAGATTAATCTGTGAAAAAAAAACTTCCGGTCAAGAAAAGGTTTGTTAAAAAAAATTTTTTTTTTTTGAAATAAAATTAATTTAATCAGTTAAAAAGGAAAAATGTAAGGAAAAGATGGATAAGGAGTGCGGACGAATCTTGATAGTCATAGGTTATTCGGTTTTGATATAATAACAACAATCGTTTGATTGATGAATGTTCGATAAACGGATTGTTGACAAATTTAGAGATTTTGGACGTGATTAAAGAATCAAGGGATCTTGAGAGGAGACAAATCTTGGATCTAACAAGGAGATTGATTTTTGTCTTTTTGGATACCGAGTTTTATTAGATGAATTCTTGCGAGATTCTCTTGTTTTACGCGTCACGACGATCATAAGTACTTACTTATCTTCGGCCTTACGATGTGAACCGGTGACCATATTTAAATGTCAAATATATATGTATATATGTACACATATATATTTAATAATTTATATTTTAATTTATACATATATATATTATTTTTATTATTTTAGTTTAAACTGATACTTTTATCGTTATATATATTATATTTTTATACTCATTGAGACATCATGTAAATTGAAAAAATCATTATTTATTCGACATCCAAACGTTACAATGCCAGAGGTTTGTGCGCGAATACCTGGATGAACTGTTCAATGATGTAATGATGTCATACGTACGTGGCAGAAGCATAGATTCGGCGATTTAATTTTATATGAAAGTGGGCTTCAAATTTCTCGATTGTACTAGCCCCGTTAATATTAACCGAAGATAGTCTCAGGCATTCTGAAATTTTCTCTGTCCCTTTTTTTTTCCATTCGTTTTCTTTACATACATTTATCATTCTAATTTTGCTATTTATTTGTATTGTATATTTTATATTCATTTATTTTATTCTTTTTAAAGCATGAATCCGGTCACTGTGCATGTAGCTCTGTGTATCGAAATTTACAAAAAAAAAAAAAGATTCATATAAATATATAATTACACTATACTATATATTAAAAAAACCCTTTTTCAGATATATATATATCCCGTTTATCTACTTTTCTTTCGCCTTCATGTTTGATAATGTGAATTGGTTTTAATGTCCTCAACCTACTTTCGTATTCACGTCCTTTTACATACTGTCCGCTGAACATAATTTCTATTAAATAACGATAGTATCTTATTATTCGAAATTAGCATATTATCGATACCTTGTTTCTTTGTAATCTATTAATACTTAAAAGTAACCGGCAGGACAACAAGAATAATACTGTCGGCGAAATCAGGTTATGTTAATAGTGATCAATCAGAACCCAAAAAATTTTGTCACGAATTTTATCCCTAACCCCCCAAATCAATCCCTTCGATTGTTTGATTGAATTTTCATTTTCATCATCGTACATTCCTTTGTAAAAAAAAAAAAAAAAATTTTTTTTTTTATACTTAATATCCCTACTTTCCTTTCGTATAAATTCACATTCTTTTTTGTTCGTCATGTCCTCGTTTCAAAAATTTCAATTTTTGACAAATAACTCTCAAGGTAAAATGTCGTTACTATTGTAAAGTTTCTTCTCCTTTTTCGCGTTACCTTTTTCTATTCAACTTTGAGTCTATCTTTCGATTCCATAACTTATTTCATTGTTTGTTGAAATTCCCTACAATTGCGAATTGCTTGTGATTTTAATATATATTTTTTTTTTTCGTCAATCGTCTTTAGTCTTTTTGACAAATACTTCGGTGACTCTTGGAAATATGTTTACACCCGAAGAATTTAATAATCGTGAAACCGATAAACTTAATATCCCTCATAATGTTAATGTCGGAAATCATAACCAGCAACTTTCAAATGAAAGTTCTATTATGATTCATCTTCCGTGCTATTTCGGTGATAGCACCGTTAATCCATTAGAGGTATGTCTTCTTTTATTATTCCCCATTTCAATATCTTATATTAACCTTCGTTATTTTTATAATCATCGTTCAAACTTTAATAGATTTATTCGCGTGAACAAATCATGCAAAATAATCATCAACCTCTATACAATCAAGTATGTTTATTCATAATCAAATTTAGTGTTTGTAGTCGACTATGCCAAGTCGATTACCCGTAGTAAATAAAATTATGCTTGCCATTTCCATATAGCCTGATTGAATCGACTAATTCAATTTTCTAAAAATCGGCTGACTCAATCGACTACAACCACTAAACAATTAGATTTATTTATTTTGATATTTGTTTACTATTTTTTACTAATTGACTTTCATTCTCTGTATTCAAGTCATCTTCTGAATTTGGGCAAAATAATAGTACTATGGTAATACTCTATTTCTTTTCAAACTTTTTTTTGCTTTCTTTTTTTTTTTTTTTTTTTTTTTTTTTTTTTTTTTTTTTTTTTTTTTTTTAAATTTTAATTTGTTGTAAATTAGCAGTTATACCAAAATTCCGAAAAAGATGAGTCACATGCACAACATGTGACTCATGAAAATACTAATGATTGGCCGGTAATGATAATTTACGGTCTCCCTCGGATGGGTTTTACCATTTTTTACAAAAGTGATTTATTTTTTTTCTCTCTTTTTTTAGCCCAGTAATGAATTGTATCAACAAAATATAATTTCAAATCTATATAATTCTGTTCTGGAAAGCCCATATCCTACGCCCCAAAACTTGGTATCGATGGAACCCTTGCCAACACCTACATACAGTCCTTTAATTTCTTTTGGTGACCCAGTACAAAATTTTAATTATTTTAATCAAGTATGTATCAAAGAATTCTTGATTCCCTATCTTTTTTTTTTAAAAAAAAAAGACGAATCCTTCATTTACAAATTTCCGATAATAAAAATAGCAACAACGTCGCCAAAATTATATTGATCCAATTTACGATGCTGACTATCAGCGTGCGAATTTGTCTCATCCCGGGCGCATACCTTCTAGCCCACAAAAACCTCCTGTATATACTAAATGGACCGAAGAAGAGGATGAGCTGTTACGTGCAGCTATAAGCATTTATGGTCCGCATAAATGGTCTCTCATCGCAGCGCACGTCCCCAACCGGACACCCATGCAATGTTCTACAAGATGGTTAGGAGCTCTGAATCCTACTATTCATAAAGGACGTTGGACTCCGGAAGAAGATGCTGCATTAAAAGATGCTGTTGGGGAATTTGTGGACCTTATTGATTCGGATGGGCATCCTCAACCTATTCCTTGTAATAAAATTGCATCTAGGATTCCACATCGAACTGGTATTCAATGTCAGGCACGATGGTCTGAAGCACTCGATCCAAGTGTTAGGAAAGGAAAATGGTCGCCCGATGAAGATGAAATCTTGAAAGAAGGTGTTAGACGTTACGGAAGGTGTTGGATTCGTATCGCCGAATTAATTGAGGGCAGAACCCAGGTAAATATATTATTATTTATTTAATTATTATTAATATTATTATTTTTATTATGATTATTATTGTTATATATTTTATTTATTTATTTGTTATTTATCGTTCTTTACCTATCAACGTTAGCGTCAATGTAGAACACGCTGGGTTCAAATTAAAAACAAACAGGCCAAACTGGAAAAGGACGCAATGATGGCCAAATCAAATAGCTCTTCAACGGACGATGACAACGATGAGGGTTTGTCAATATTAACCCCCCCAAACACAACTCCGTCTACTCCTGCCCAGACGGTAATGCGTCCGTCACCTAATATATTAAATCATATGCCTCCTCGAAGGCAATTATCTGGAATTCCTTCGATAATGAGTCATAGCCCGATATTATCACCGTCACCGACAGATACATTGACGAGTCCCGAATCTTGTGGAGTGACGACTCCCGAGCATACTTCGCCAATGTTCGATACTACTAGTTTAATAAAACCCCACAATGACAATATGATCTCGTTCTCCCATGATCATTATTCTTATATCAATTAAAAAATTTATGAAATATGGAAAAGGAAATTTTTCCTTTCGTACAAAAATTCTATGCAAAATATATAATTTATAACTTCATTTCTTGAGTTCATAAGCAACCCATCCTTTTTTCTCTTACTATTTTTTTTCTTTTTTAAACATTTCGTTCAAAAAAAAAGGTTTTTCGAACAATGTTCGTACTCTTCGATTTTTCACAAGGTGCATAGATTTAAAAAAAAAACAATTCGATAACTAGTTATTGACTTTTTTTACTCCTTTAATAACGTTTTTTCTCGATACAATCGAACGTAAACGTACAACAAAAGTTATATATTATCACATAAAATATGCTCGCTAAATAGACTTTTTAAAATTTACTTATTCAAAAAAAAATCTTATTCATATTTTAATTATTTCCTCCCACAATAATGCTATATGAATATAACAATAATTACAAGGATTTTTTTTTAAAAAAAAAATTATTTTTCGCTTCGTAAGTTTTGTGTTTTCTTTTTTTGTGCTGGGGTTTATCTATACAAAAAAAAAACAAAAGGAAAAAAAGAATATATATGTATTGCATTTTAAGACAAAAAAATAAAAAAGGTTCGAACCTCTTTAGCCCTATTTAACCAATTCTCTTGACTCATTTTTATAATCTGGAATCTTTAATACAACTTAGCAGTATTCTTGTTTTAATAAAGTTCAAGGATATTAATGAATACTTATGGTGTTTTTTTTGGGATGTAGAAAAAAAAAAAAGACTGATTTATTTTACGCGTTTTCTTTCTTGAGATGTAGAGGAATAAAAAAAACTTTTCTTTTTTAAATAACAATTTTTTTCTCTACATCTCATAAAGACCTTATTTTTACATATAGAATGTGCATATATATATGAATATATATAATCACTTCTCTCTAAGTAGGATTGGTTTTATACTTAAGACTTTTATAAGCCTGGACGAGACTATATATAAGTTGGATAATGCCAACTTTCTTATTATAATATTGAGTACATACCTAATTTCAGCTTTCATTTAACGAAGCTTAAATATTTTTAATAATAACCAAAAATCTGGAATATAATTCTAAAATTGTATTTTAATTATTTACTAGCTTTATATAATTCGGGTTTTCCTTTTTTTGTGCTTGGCGTGGGATATTGTTGTGTATTTTGTGAGAAAAGTTTAATTTTAACAGTCTCTTTTTTTCCGTATTTCTCATCATGATTAATTGTTTAATACGTATGTATATATATACACGTTTCTTTAAATATGTATTCAAAATAATATTAAATTTTTGTTTAGACAATTATAGTATAGTGTATATATATTTACATGTTTAAAATACAAACACTTCAGGATTTTGTTACTTTAAACATACTTTGATCTCTCAGACAATCATTTCCCTCAACATCTAATTTCTGCCAACTCTAACTTTAAAGCAGGCCAATCTTAATTCTAAATCGGGTCAACCTTAACGTTAACCATAAAGAAAAAAAAGTACCGAAAAAAATGAGTTTAGCAATATAGTATTATTTAATATTAAAGTGCACTATAGATAATAAACATCATAGCGATAGTGGTTATATGTTAAGTACATTTGACCCTCGTATATCAATGTTGATATTGATTGGAATTGATAATTATTTATACGGTTTGAACCCGAACTCAATTTTTTATTAAATATATATATTAAATAAGCTGCTTCTAGTAAAAGTTGTAGAAGACACTCTTACTATTCTAATGGTGGTAAGACCGTTAAATTTAACCTAGTAGATCACAAGGGGAGCCAAGTTAGCTCACATTAGGTTAGTGTTGTAATTTCGGTCAATTTTTGTAGGGATTTTGACCTAAACCCGATCACGAGATATACGCATTTTAATTTTTTTTTTTTTTTTAAAGAAATTTTTATTTTTTTGAAATGTAAAACGCGTATATTTCGTAATCTCCTATTGCTTGGATC